GAAATAACAAGTGTAATATCCACTAAAGAAAAGCTTAAGTATATAACACCAACACTTACATGACGTGGTTAAGGGCATACCATCCATCCAAGCTTCTCTCAAGTGCCTCAAGACACAAGTTGGGCAACTTGGGACATCGATCGGAGAGCTTCAAAGAGACAATAAGAAGGATCACCTTCCAAGCCAACCCGAACAAGCCCAAGCCGTGACGGTCCTACGAAGCGGACGAAAGGTAGATAATCACGTTGGGGAGTCTTTGGATGTGATGATGGAGGATGTTGGTAAAAAGGGGGATGATGAAGGGTTGGATGTGATGGCGGAGCCCGGGAAGAGCAAAGAAGGGGCGATAGAATAAAAGCCTAAGGAGAAGCCGAAATTCGGTGAGATTGATGGATTGCATAAGTCGGCTACACCATACCGTCCACCAGTACCCTACCCTAGTAGACTTCAAGAGACGAAAAAGAACCTCCAATTTCAAGATCTTTATAATATGCTGTCAAAGGTGAATGTCAATCTCCCTCTTTTGGATGTGATTCGGAATGTCCCGGCATATGTGCATTTTTTCAAGGACCTCGCCTCTAAGAAGAGGAGGTTTGGGGACAATGAGAAGGTGATGATTTCCGAGGTGGCCTCTACCACTATTCCTCAGAAGGAGTGTGATCCCGGAGGCTTTGTGATCAAGATTATGTTGGGAAATGGCAAAGAGACGAATGGCATGCTTGATTTGGGAGCTGGGATAAATCTTATGCCTTACTCGATTTTCCAACAATTGGAGCTCGGGAATCTTAAACCAACAAGGATGTGTTTGCAATTGGCGGATCGTACTCTACGTTATTCGAAGGGTGTCATTGAAGATATTTTGATTCGAGTAGGCAATTTGATAGTCTTGGCGGATTTTGTGGTGCTCGATGTAGGAGAAGTTCCCAACACCGGTAACGAGCACACTATCCTACTCGGTCGACCGTTCATGGCCACCACCAACACTCTCATTAATGTTAAAGATGGGCGTGTTACGTTATCGACTCTCGAAGAAACAGTTACATTCACTATGAATGAAGCACGAACAATACCGTTAGCCACCGAGAGTTGCTCTTACGTGGACGTGATTGAAGAGGTTGTCCACAATCTCTTTCATGCCGAGGTTTCGTGTGAATGTGACATGCCCGAAGGTGAAGCGACCAATGAAATTGATCCCGACGATGAAGAAGTGGTGGATTTTTTTTAGCTATCCAAGGAGCCCGAGCCCCGAGAAATTGCGAGTGAACTTAAACCACTACCACCACATCTCAAATATGTTTTTATTCAAGATGGAGAGAAGAAACCCGCAATCATTTATTCGGGTCTTTCGAAAGAAGAGGAGGACTCACTCGTAGGAGTCCTCAAAGTGAATATAGACGCTATCGGATGGAGTTTGAGTGATATAAAGGAGATAAGCCCAGCTACATGTATGCATCGCATCATTCTCGAGGACGAGGCGAGACCTATTCGAGAGGGTCAAAGACGATTGAATCCAACCTTGATGGAGGTTGTGAAGGGAGAGATCCTAAAGTTGATGAAAGAGGGGATTATCTATGCCGTTGCAGTTAGTGAGTGGGTGAGCCCTGTGCACGTTGTTCCAAAGAAAAGTGGAATCACGGTGGTCGAGAACAACAGGGGTGAACTTGTACCTACAAAGACCACGACGGGGTGGCGAATGTGTATCGATTTCCGGAAGCTTAATGCCGCCACAAGGAAGGACCATTTCCCTTTGTCGTTCATCGACCAACTCCTTGACAAACTAGCCGAACACCCTTTCTATTGCTTCCTTGATGGTTTGTCGGAGTACTACCAAATCCCGATTGCCCCGGAGGATCAACCGAAGATGACATTCACATGTCCTTTTGGTACATTTGCCTTCCGAAGAATGCCGTTCGGGCTGTGCAATGCTCCCGCTACGTTTCAAAGGTGCATGTTTTCTATCTTTTCGGACATGATCGGTAAATTTATTGAAATATTTATGGATGATTTTTCCGTCTTTGGTGATTCTTTCATTGATTGCCTTGATAAACTTGGTAGAGTATTGAAACGATGCATTGAGAGTAATTTGACTCTTAGTTGGGAAAAATCGCATTTCATGGTTCCGAGTGGGATTGTTCTTGGTCATGTCGTTTCATCTAAGGGAATTGAGGTCGATAAAGCCAAAACTGATGTGATTGAACAACTCCCTACCCCTATTAATGTGAAAGGTATTCGAAGTTTTCTTGGGCATGCCGGTTTTTACCGGAGATTTATTAAAGACTTTTCGAAAATTGCCCGTCCTTTGTGTGCGTTGCTTGCATTAGATGTACCTTTCGATTTTAGTGAGGAATGTATGAATGCGTTTAATGAGTTAAAACGTAGGTTGGTTACGACTCCTATTGTGATGCCCCCGAATTGGGCCTTGCCATTTGAAATTATGTGCGACGCTTGGAATTTTGCGGTAGGGGCCGTCTTAGGTCAAAAGGTTGAAAAAAGACATCATGTTATTTGTTATGCTAGTATGACTTTGAATGAGGCACAAGTGAACTATACTACGACCGAGAAGGAATTTCTAGCTATCATTTTTGCTTTAGAAAAATTTCGTGCTTACATTGTAGGATACAAGGTTGTGGTTTATAGTGACCATGCGGCCTTACGACATTTGCTAGCTAAAGCTCAATCTAAACCTAGGTTGATTCGTTGGGTATTATTATTGCAAGAATTTGATGTGGAAATCTTAGATAGAAAAGGATGTGAAAATGTTGTTGCCGATCATTTATCACGTCTTGTTTTGCCTTCGAATTCTTGTGATATGAATGATCTTGATGATTCATTTCCTTATGAGCATGCTTTTCTTGTCGACTGTGTGCCTTGGTACGCCGATATTGCTAATTATTTGGCTAGTGGCGTTTTGAATGACGACCTATCCTTCCAAGAAAGGAAGAGATTCCTTGCTAAATGTAGGAATTTCATGTGGGATGATCCATACCTTTTCCATCTTGAGAAAGACGAGGTCGTTAGGAGATGTGTTCCCGAGAAGGAGCAACAAGCGATTCTAACCACATGCCACTCGTCAAATTGTGGAGGTCATTTCGGAGGCCGGAAGACGGCGTTCAAGGTGTTGCAAAGTGGATTTTATTGGCCCACGATTTTCAAAGACTCTCACATATTCTTCATTTTTTGTGACCAGTGTCAACGTTCGGGAAATATTGGGCGTAGAAATAAGATGCCGCTTAATACTTTTCTACCGGTTGAGATTTTTGACGTTTGGGGAATTGATTTCATGGGGCCTTTTCCGAGCTCTAATGGATTTGAATACATTTTGGTTGGTGTGGAGTACTTGTCAAAGTGGATTGAAGTTATTCCGACTCGAACTTGTGATGCGAAGGTCGTGGTGAAATTTGTACAAGACTATATCATCAATCGCTTCGGTTTCCCTCGAGCTATTATTAGCGACGGAGGCTCTCACTTTTGAAATCGAATTTTCAAGAAACTCATGGAGAAAAATGGGATCGCCCACAAGGTTGCTACGCCATATCATCCTCAAACTTCCGGGCAAGTCGAAACGAGCAATAAACAAATCAAGGCGATTCTTGAGAGGACCGTGAATTCTTCTAGACGTGATTGGTCTAAGAAGCTCGGGGATGCATTGTGGGCACATCGGACGGCCTACAAAGGAGTTCTTGGTATGAGTCCTTTTCGATTGATATATGGGAAAGCATGTCACTTGTCGGTGGAAGTCGAGCACAAAGCCTATTGGGCTATTCGAACTATCAATGTGGAGCTCGGCTTAGCTGGGAAGGAACGTCATTTGCAAATCAACGAGTTAGACGAGTTGCGAAATGAAGCTTATGAAAATGCCCGGATTTACAAAGACAAAGTCAAACAGTGGCATGACTCGAAGATCTTACGGAAAGAGCTTGCACCCGGGATGAAGGTACTTCTTTTCAACTCGAGGCTTAGATTATTTCCCGGGAAGTTAAACTCAAGGTGGAGTGACCCGTTCGAAATTGTGGAGGTGTTTCCATCCGGAATGATTGAACTTTTCAATCCAACCGACAACACTTCGTTTCAAGTAAATGGTCACCGAGTTAAACCATATCTCGAGGGAGAAGCCAAGGAAGTCCGAGTTTTCTACTCCCGGCTCGAGGAGCCAACTTATTCTTGAATCGTCAGGTATGTCGAGCTCACGACGTAAAACCGAGCGCTTCGT